TCAGCATCCTGGAGGTGGGGGCAGATCCCTGGAAGGTTCTGGGAAGAGAAGGAGACAAATGACAAAGTGGTGGGCTCACGAAAGGGGCCCTTGACAAATGACTGGAAGGACTGGGTGGACAGATGGGGAAGAGCAAAGGCCCCTGTCCTTTTATTGGAGAACTCCTTGTGGCTCCCTGAACAAGACAGTGGCTCCCCAGGGGCCGGGCTGAGGGTTGGTCTCTCTGGTTCTCTCCGTGGGGATGAGTAATATGGACCAGGGCAGAGGGTCTATATCAATCTAGCTCAGCAGAAAAATGAATGAAAATTGGATTCCCCAAGGAGAATCGGGGAGCTGTTATCCAGACAGAGATAAATCAAAGGATGCCACAGAGAAGGGGGAGAGCAGGTTTCCAACAGCAGGGGAATAATTAAGGAAACAGTTTCAAAATGCAAATGATGAAAGAGGGTTTGAGAGTCCGGAGGACAAGGAGGAGGTGACTGGAGATGGGGTGATGGGGAGCAGGAGTGAGGAGCAAAGAAAGAGGCTGGGGTTCCGAATTCCTGGCACCTGAGGGTCAACCCACCCACTCTGTGAAGCTCCTCAAATGTAAGGGTCAGAAGACACATGAGTCTGCAGGGCAGGGTGGAAAGAGCACCCGAGCAGGAGTCAAAGGCTGGATTTAATCTCCAGTTGGCTCTGCAACTTATTAGCAGTGTGACCTTAGGCAAACCACTTAACCTCTCCGTTTCCTGATAATCATACCCAAGCCCAGCATGATTATGAAGATCAAATGAGATAAAATATGTAGAGGAACTTTATACATTGTAAAGTGCTAGACAAATACAAGCTATAATCATTTTTCCTAAATTGGATTTCTAGAGATTCTTCCCTCAGAACTGGATCCACTGACATGTTGAGTTTGGTTCCCAGAATGTAATGTGTAAAATAAAAAAATAAAAAAAAGAAAAGAAATGTAACGTGTAGATGTTCAGAAAGCACCAGATACTCTTATTCACTCACTGCCCTGACAGAAGCCACATCACCACTGACCCAGCCTCTGGTGTCCACCCTCCGACTGAATTGTAGCTGAAAGCCACAGGTCTGAGGTCTGCCCTAAGGACTGTCGCTCCTGGTGGGTCACCTCCAGCCCTGGGTGGCCTTCACAGAGAAGACCCCTGTGGAGTGGGCTCAGAGGTTTAGGTTTCCACCAGAGAGTCTTCCTGTGGCATTCAGCCATTCTCCCCTTCTCTGGGGGTAGGGACTAGCTTAGCCCCTCTTAGCCTCAGCTTTTCCGTCCTCCAAATAGGTATGACAATACTGTTTATTGACTGGTTATGAGGAACAGATGGGTCAGGCAGGTAGAAGCACTTACCTGGGTGCCTGGCTCGGTTTCAAACTGTCAGTAACGTGGGTGGCTATCATTCTTACTGTGTGCTGTTGTGTTGTTGTCATTGTTGCTATCAGTGGCAGTGGGCACTAGAATACCTACGTAAGGAGAGGTTTTCACTGGGGTTTCATCATTTACAGATAGGGAAGTGGGAGGCTCCAGGAAGGAAATGAATGCTGTTAATGGAAGATGTTGAGAATGGAACCCAGGTCATACTTCTAGAAAAGTCTCAGAATGTGGAAAGGGCATTTATTGGCTGAGCTGCAGTGTGTGTGTGTGTGAGTGGGGATGCACCGGGGTGCTGGGGAGCTGCGGCCCACAAGTTAAAGAACTGAGAACCAAGTGGACCTCCCAGGCTCTTCTGCCATTGGATAAAGGTGAGAATAGCAGCTGCTGAATCAGCACTGGGTGCTGGAGAGTCCCCACCACAGGAATGCTGCCCCTCACCCAGTGACAGGGGAGTGTGTGAAAAGAGGGCAGGACCTGGGCAGGTTCATACCAGGGGAGCAGGAGCTGCAGAAAGCATTTTAAAAATACTATTTTTAATTATAAAAGTCACTACCACATGTGCTCTACATTTCACTCAATATAAATATTTTATCTTTTACTAATATTACTGAAAAAATGTAACCAATTTACAGAAAATCTGGGAAAGAGAAAAAAGGAAGGAAATTCTGTGCTACATTCTCCGTAATATAATTTTCTCCCAGTAGATTTTTGAATAGCATTTTGATATATTTTTCTCAGTGTTTTCTCAATGCTTTTGTTTTTTTTTATAATAAATTTATTTTTTATTGGTGTTCAATTTTCTGAATTGGTGTTCAATGCTTTTGAAAGAGATTTTATTAGTTTTTTCTGTTTTATGAAATAAATCAGGAAACTTAAAAAAGGAAAACTAAGAAAATAAATATACCTACAGCACAGATAACCACTTTTATATTTTACCATATATTTTCTGTCTATGCTGCTTTTTAAAAGTCCTACAGTTGATACTTCTTCCTATTCACTTTTTGTCTAATAAGTGACTACTTTATTAATGTTTTTCTATTGTATTTTCTAACGAGAATATAACATTCTACTTTATTTACTCTAATTTATTTAAAAATCCCCTATTACTGGATATGTAGCTTATTATCTTTTTAAAATATTATAAACATCCTTGTACCTACATCTTTATAAATATTCTTGATTATTTCCTGTGGCTAAATTTCTATACGGATTGAGTGAAATCCATCAAATATTTAGGCTATAAAATATATTGCCAAAGTGCCCTCAGAAGACATTGTCCCTCATCGATCCCCACCAGAAAAATTGTTTTCTGGCTTCCCCACACCCTAGCCTGTGACTAACATTTTGGAAAACTTATATAATATTGTATCATGCTTTTTAAATTTTTCTGTATTTCACAAGCATTCCCATGTTGCTAGATTTCATGATTAGTTTCAATAATTGTATAACATATTACCAAGCAAATTTAATCTATTCTACTGAACCACTTTTCTTTTGTTGGATAGCAGAGGGTTGTTTTGTCCAACATCTTCATGTATGAAATCTTTTCTTCACATTTTAGATCATTTCTGTGGAAGAGACACTCAAAGTGGAATTCTATGAGATAAGGGGCATGAAAAAATTATGGGGTTTGATACATATTGCCAAGTTGCTTTCCTAACGGATTGAAGAGTTTCTTAGCACACCAGCAGTTTTGTGACACTACCAGTTTCAAAGACCTTCACCAGCCCCACATTCTAGGATTTCCCCGGGCCCTGGAGGAGAGGCCATTTAACACACAAAACAGAAGTATGTACCCTGATATTTTGTTTTTCGTGTCATCGATCGCTTACGAGGGTGGCATTTTTCTCGTGTTTGTTTTCTAGTTACACTTTTGTAAAAAAAAAAAAAAAAGAAAGAAAGAAAGAAAAAAGAAAAAAATTGGTAAATTTTGAAAATGTCACCGGGATTTTTGCTTTTTTTTTCTTGCATATTGGAATCCCCTTGCAGTTCAACAGGGCAAGAGATGATGCCAACCCAGTACCGGGACGCACACAAGTCGCGGTGGCTTCACCGAAGACCAATTCTAAGCGCGGACGGCCACGCCCTCCTCCCCCACCTTCCTGGCGGCCCCTCGGCGTCCCGGTTTGGGGACAGCGCCAGGAGGAAAGGCAGGGGACGCTCCGTAAGGTTGGAGAGGGCAGGCCGTCCCATTTCCCGCCGAGCTGGGCTTGAGCAGGCTGGAAGGGCACATATGTCAGCATCTCTGGAACGAATTCAGGACGCGGGCGTCGCGAGGGGGCATCCGTAGAGCCTCCGGGTCCCCCGGGGGCAGGGGAGGTGGGTTCGCGCGCCTGCAGCCCAGGGGCGGCGCGCGGTCCGGCGAAGGCCCGGAGGACCCGGGCGGCGACCGGCCCCAGAGGGGGCCTTCGGTCTTCTCGCCGCCAGGAACTTGGCGTGGACAACCGAAGCGTGCCTGGGTGCCCTGCGAACACAGCAGGCAACGCGTGCCCCTCCCGCTGGGGACCCCGGCGTCCGCGGGCGCGGCCCCCTCCGCGCACCGGGCGGGAGCTGCTCAGGGCGCCCGCGGCTGCAGCAGGCGAGGCCGAGCGGCCTCCGGGGGCGGAGGGCAGGACCCGGCCGCGCCGGCGCGGGCAGCCCGGGGACCCGACGGGGCCGGGGAAGGGAGGAGCCGACTTCCCCGCCCGCGCGGCCGCTGCGGGACTCGGCTTCCCGGCCCCGTGCGGGCGGGCCTGGCCTCAGCCGGACGCGGGGCAGAGAAGCGCCGGCGGGAACGGCACCGGCCGGAGGAGGAGGATGGAGGATGGAGGATGGAGGATGGAGGATGCGGTCCCGGGCGGAGGCAGACCCGAGACCGAGCTCTGCGTGCGGCCCGGGCCTTCGGGGGTCCGGCCACGCCCTTCTCCATCCCTTGCGGGACGCGAGCCGCCGGGCAGGACCCGCGGGAAGGCCCCGGCCCCGGGCTCCGCCGTCCAGGAGCACCTGCCGCCGCGGCCGAGCCCGCCGCATTTATACCCGGGGCGCGAGCCGGGCCGGCGGGGCGCAGGGCGGGGGGGGGGGGGAGGCCCGCGAGGCCCCGCCCCGCTCCGTGCGGCCCCGCCCCCCGCGCGGCCCTCCACACTTGGGGCGCGGGGACCCCCACTCGGGCTGGGGTCCGCGGCCAGCTGCCGGGTCCGGGGATTGGCTGGAGGGCGGGCCTCCCTGCGGAAAGCGACGTCACGGCCGTCCCTGCAGTGTGAATGAATCAAAACGCCTGGGTGACCGCGGCCTCCCGGGCGGCCGGCGCGCGAAGGGTGGAGGGGGAGGGGGAGGGGGAGGGGGAGAGCGCGGGCGGGGGAGGGAGGAGGGGAAAAAAGCCAGAGCTGCAGCAACAGCGTCTCCTCTCCCCGGGATGTGCACCTACCCGGGAGAGCGAGATCAAAGGGATCTGAGACCGGCTGAGGACCGGCGGGGGGAGGGGGCAGCCAGCCTGTGGAATCCTCCCGGAGAGGCGGAGGGCCGGCTCCCACCGTGACTTCGGCGGCCTGGTTGGGTTTTTTATTATTTTCAAATTTCTGAATCCAGCTTAAGCGACAGAGCGAGAGATCTCCGTAGACTGCGACTCCCTGGCTCTCGCTCCGAGATGATGCAGAGCGCAGCTGTCCCCGCGGAGGGGGCTGTCAAGGGGCTCCCGGAGATGCTTGGTGTGCCGATGCAACGTAAGACACCCCCCTTTTCTCGCTGATTTAATTTGATAACAAGGCAGCCAGCAGCCTTGGCCGGTCCGGGGCGGGTCGGACGCTGCGTGCAGCCTGGACCGAAGGGGCCGGGCGGGGCGAGGGGCCGCCGGCCCCGGCGCAGAGGCGGTCACAGGGCAGGGGCACTGGCCAGGGTGCCTTTAAAAGGCCTGGCTCTTGGCTTTCAGGGCCGAAAGTGAAAGCCTCCCCGATCGCGCTCCAGGCCAGCCGAGGGTACCGAACCCCGCATCTCCAGCCCACGGCTTCTCTAGGAGAGTGGGGGAGAGTGCTGTTTGGGGACACCCTGGGAACGAACTGCAGGCCAGGCCCGAGGGCTGGGGGGGGGGGGTGTCCCTGTAAATCATCCTCCCTCCTGGGGTCACAGTCGGAGCTCGAAGTACGGCCAGTGCAACTTCACCCCAGCCGGCGGGAAGTTGGAGAGCGCGTCCCCCGCCCCCGGGGCTGGCGGCTCGGAAGCCCAGGCCACACGCTCGGTCCCCGCGCGCTGGGCGTGCGCGCCCGGGGCGTCCTCAGCCGCTGCTGCCCGCGGCGCCCGCAGCCTGCGCCGCCGGGGACTGCCTGGCTCCGCTCGCCGGGCTCCCGCTGGCCGAGGAATGCAGGGGAGGGAGAAGCGCCGGGACCAAGTTGTGAACTCGGGCCACAGCCTTCGCGCGAGCGAGGACCCAACCTCCGGGTGGCTTGGACTCGGCAGGGGAGAGGCTAGGGTCCCAGGGCGCTTTGCTCGCCCACCCACTTTCTTTCCCGCGCCCGAAAGGAGCAAGACTGCGGGAGCTCGGGGCGTGTTCACCCCGGGGTCTCTGTGTGTGTTTGGGTGTGCGCGCTCAGGCATTTTCCCCGGAGGGAATCTGTCTCTGTCCCGCACTCCCAACCTGAGTCCCCGATGGAGGATCTGTGCAGAGGCCGGAGCAGGTCCCGGGGCATCGCGCGCGCGCGCGCGGCGGGCGCCCCGGGAGTCCTGCCCTGCAGGCTCGGGGCGCTGCGGACCACCCCTGCGCACCCGCGAGAGGGAAAGCTTCCCTCGCTCGGCGGGCCGAGGGCTGTGCCTCCGCCCGCGGTTTCTTTGGTGGAGCGGTGGCTACATCCTCGAGGTTTATCGTAAGTAAATAAAATAATGGTGCCTACCTACGAACTAGGAGGGCGCGCGGCTGCGCCCTCCTGCGCCCTCCTGCGCCTCCTGCGCCGGGCTCTCCGCGGCAGGGATTCCGCTTGGGCCATACCTCAAAGGGCAGGTAGGTCCCAGGCCTCCCTGAGAAGTTTTGGAGAAGGAAGTAGAGGAAGTTAGCTTCACCTACATCTATTTAGGTTGTCCTTTGACTATATCCTGCACTTACCCTTTGTGTCTTTTCCTATCGGCCGTTGGCAAAAGAGTTCCACGTCTGCAGCGCGCTTGGGAAGTTTGCTGCTGACCTAGGTGTGTCTGTAGAAGGCTTTGGGGGTTCGCTGCTGCCCTGACTGCCCCCACCCCACCCCCACCCGCCACGGGCAAGGAGGGAGTGCGTTCTCAGCCCCTGCGATAAACAGAAACACAAACCCTGGCAAAGGAGCTCCAAGTCCTTGGGATGATTGAGGAGGCGAGTGTGTGAGTGGGTGGAAGGGGAGTGTGTGTGCCTCGCTTCCTTGTTACCCAGTCGGTCTGTGCTTTAATAGTTGTGGTCCGTAGGTGGCCTATCAGGACTGCAAAGAAGGGCGGCAGGCTCTGCTGTCACAGCCTTTCTTAGGATGCTCAGCACACCCTCTTGGATTGTCTCACTTTTTGTTTCCCTTACTCAGGGACAACTTTGATTTTGGCATCAGGAACTCGGTTTTCTAAAATGTCTCGAATTTGCCTTCAGAGCTACAGTTCACCAGGGCTTGAGTCTGGGTTCCAACTGTGGAAAACTCAATGAAGTAGAGAATGGGACTCTCATCCTAGGGTCACCCAGCAGAGGCAGTGCTGAACCAGGAGGGGCTGGTCTGCCCTTCCTTTTGTTTTGCCCTGAGTTGGTGGCCTGGGTTGAAGGAGGCAGTGGCCAAAACTGAGGGGCCCAATCCCTGAAGACTTTGGGCTCCAGCTTTTAAATTTTTATTTTGGGATGCACATGGAGCATATTTATTCCCTTCCAGCAGATGTGGCTGCTGAGCATCAAGCTGTTTGTGCAGAGAACTGGGCATAGGTGGGGTGTGATGCCCCCATACACATACACAGTACCATCCTCTTCTCTGGGATACCGGGCCCACTGGCCTAATAACTTGCTGTGGGGGTGGGGGTCAGGGTGGGGACATGTCCTTGGGCCTGGGGAAGAAGAGTAATCTCAGGCCTGTGGGTGTTTAAACTTTGGGAGAGAGGAGACAACAGAAAGGCTCTCCCTCAAGGGTTCTTCCAACCCCACAACTGGAAGGTTTGGGTTGCCCACCTCCCACCCGACGCATGCATACACATGTCCAGTTTCTTTACCCTTAGCCACCACAGATGGAGCACTTCGGGGCACAGATACACAGATCCTCCAACCTGGGTCTCTATGGGGCCCTGGCCTCACAGGGGCATTTCAGGAGTTTGAATCCAGTTTGTTTCAGGGGCAGTCAGAATATGTTTTGGGGGTATGTGAGGTCCCCTCCCTTAAGGAAAGGGTTACCAAGTGGTGTAATAAATTCTCCCTTGGTGGGCTTATTCCTTGCTCTCTGACAACCCCACCTCCTGCCACTGCTGGCTCCTGGGTGGGCTTGTCAGCATGGTGGCCCTCCTCCTGCTTCCCCGTGCAGGGGTTGCAGGGCCCATGAAACCCTCCCCGCTTGGACAGCTCCAGGACAGCCTGATGGGGCCCATGGTCCGCTCAGACTTCTCCAGACAAGCTTGAAGATTTTCATCTGTTTGAGGGGCATCAGCCTGGGACAAGAAGCTTGGGAAAAATCGGGCAGACGGGAGGAGTCTGGGAGTAGTTGGGAAGAGCAACCTGGGGTAGAGAGGCAGAGCCCCACCCCCTTAAATCTCCCACAGGTTGGTGGGCAGCCAACCTGGTCAATGTTTTCTAAGGAACTCAAAACCCCTGGCTCCTTGCTCTGGGTGGTGGGAGCGCAGTTTATAGGAGGCTGCACCCTCAAGGTCACGTCCAGCATGAGCCCAGGGCCTTGGGTTTTTTGTTTTTCTTTTTGTTTTGCTTTTTTTTTCTGGGTAGGTAGATAGGTTCAGAAAGGGATCTTGTTCCAAGCTCACGGGTCCTAGCTACTTGGCCATGATTCAGGTTGCAGGTCTCTCTCTCTCTCTCTCTCTCTCTCTCATTCTGCACGCAACCTGCTTCTGCTCGGTTCTTCCTCACCACCTCCCTCTGGGCTGTAGAAACGCCAGGTCCAAATTCCCACAGCTCCTGACTGACCTAGGGGCAGCGTTGAATTCCACAATCACCTCCCAATCCTCCTCCAAACCTGTTTCCTCCCGGAACTCATTGGTTCCCCCATGCATCTCGGCCCTGCTGGCCCCTCTTGCACGCCAAGACAATCGGAACAGTGAGGGACACACAGGGAGATGGGCGTTTTATCCGCCCCTTGCTGTAGGTTTTGGCCTATCTCCCCGATAGTTTCCTGGGGCACCAAGGGAAGGGATTGCCCCTCTTTCCCATAGCTAGCTGGAGAGCTAGCCAACCCAGGTGGGAGAAAAGAGCGACCACTGGGTCCAGGCAGGGAGTGATAAATGGGGAGCATGTACGGGGCATTTTGCATCCCACCCTTGTCTTCTAAAATGTCTACTTCTTGCAGCTCTTGCGAACTCTGAAGCTGTGGGTAAAGGGCATTTGATTTTGTTTGTGGTAAAATCTGTGTGAAGAACTTCTCTAGGACAGCCCACTACCCTTTCTTCTCTTTTGGGGTGCCTGCTGGTGTGTGGGGAAAATCTTCCAGCACCAGCGGCCCGGGAGTCCTCACTCCTGATGCTATCATCCTTCTTGCAGCAGACTATTTCTTAAGGGGTGAAATGGCCAGGAGTTCTCTCAAACTTTGGAGCAGCAATTTGAGCTTCTTTCCACTCCTGCCTTTTCTGGTGGTGCCGAAAAGAAAAACAAGAAACAATTTATTATATGATATATACCTCCATATATTTTATATATGGAGAGAGAGAGACAGAGAGATATTGATTGACTCAGATACCGATACAGAAAGCAGCCCCGGGCACCACAAATCTCCTTCCCCGCGTCACAAAAATATTGTCAGGCACGATCGGAGCCAACTTTTAAAGGTCACACTGGTGGCTGTCCCCGGGGCCGGCAGACTTGGGCCTCCTGGAATGGGGATTCAGATTTCCCGACCTGGAGGATGTCACCCCAGCCTCGGACCGAGCTTCGCCCTACCCGGGGAGGACACTGGGAGAAACCCTGGTGACTAAGGCAGCACCTCGGGGTGGAGACGGGTGGCCGAGGCGCCGAGGCGCCGAGGGGCTGGCGGGCTCGGCCTCCCCGGTTCCACTGTCTGGATTAAAGAGGGGAGCGGAGGGGAGCCCTCCTTGATGGGGCGCGCCGCGGGCGCTCAGGGAGTGGGATTAAGGATTTAACCCGGACCGGAGCGGGCAGGCGGGGCGCGGGAGCGGGGAGGTCTGCCCTAAGCGGTCCCCAGTATCCGGGGAAGATGGAAAGTCGGGACCGAGAAGAGGAAGCAGGACCTAACTCGTGATGTCTTCTCGCTGGGCCGCGGTGCGGGCTCGTGGAGACCCAGGGCCCGGCGGGGCTGGGCAGGAGCGGCGTCCTTGGGTGCAAGAGCGCGACCTGCGTGACCCTGGCGCCACCAGGGCGCAGCTCCGCCGCCCCGCGGGCAGGCACCTGGGGGTCCCGGGGAGCCGGCGTTTGCTGCGCACCTGCGGGTGCCGCGTTGCGGCTCGACGCGCGCCCTGGGTGCTGAGCGCTTGCGGGCGGAAGCAGGTGCGGACAGGACGGCGCATCTGGGGGAGAGCCGGCCTTCTGCACACCGCGACCCGCACCCCGAGGTCGGGCCTGCGCAGG